ACATTCGTGTGTGTACAAAGGAGGGACCTTGTTGGGGAAAAGGGATTCAGAGGGCTGGGGTAAGATAATGGCGACTGAGTATGATCAAAATACATCATACACGTTAATGAAACCAAAGACTTTTTAATCTATGTTAATCGTAATCTTTATTCCAAAGTAAGATAAAATATTCATTTCAAATGAGATTCTTGGAGACAGTTGTATCTAAGCTAGATAAGGGGTGTTTTCCAGAAAGACAAAGGAAAAAATCTTGGCAAGGGAACAGTGAGAGCCAACAGGATGTGAACAGCCTGCTGCTGGAAGAGCTAGTTCCCCTGCAAAGGCAATGGTGATGAAGGTCTAAGATTGCTGCAGCTACAGAGCAGAGCTGGCCTATTAGGTACCACATGCATGAACATGATCTGTATCTTGCAGTAGACTGGCAATTTCTGCACAATTATAAGCAGGAAACAGTGGTAAGACTCTAGCAGGACAGGGAATGGCAAACTTGGCTCTGACAGGCCTTGCCCCTCCCCATTACCTCTGCCTTGCTGTTAGATTACATTCCACCAAGGCCCATTCTCTTATCTGGGGACTTCCTTCCCAAGGCTGACCAACCAGGGTCCAGCCATCAAAGTTCAGCAATCAAAAGCCTCCTTTTGGCTGCCCTGATTAACATGCCCAATCAAAACAAACCAACTCCTTCTAACAAGGGGTTTCCCTTTCTCCCTTTATAAACTGCCCTTTGCCTGTGGACCGTGCTGGTCTCTCAGTAGTGCCATAGTTTATATTGGTGTACTGGTCCGACCCCCATCCCACGCAGTTCTCATACACCTTCCGATACCTGTCCTCCCCAATCAGGATCAGCTAATTGTCGACTTCCCTACAGGTGAGTTCAATTTTCCTTTTAGAGAGGATAACATTTTGCTGGGCATGGGGGCTCATGCTTACAGCCCAGCACTTGGCAGGGCAGGCTGAGGTAGGAGGACTGCCAAGATATAAGGCCAGCTTGGATTACAAAAAGAAACATTGTCCAAAACCAGAATGACAGAAACAAAACAAGAAAAACAAGCAGATATCTATGTTAAGGAGATGGCATGATGACAGCTGTTTACGTCTGCAGCTGCCCTTTCAGCCATCTTTCAGGTTTTAGTCCTCTGCCTTTTTATATAACCAGGTCTGATTAGGCAATGGTGACACTGCAGTGCACAACAGGAAGCTCAGGGAGAGACTGAGAAACACCTCAGCTGGACTCCACCTCCTCCCTGAGCACTACTGCCTAGCTAACACCGAAAAGGAGCTTGTTCCTCCCAGAGTAACTTTCACCCAGCTATGCTAGGCCGTATCACTTTTCAACTTTACTCCAATCTTCTAAATTTCTAATTGTTCTGTCATTTGCTCGTTTACCACCTTTGACTTTCACATAAAGACCAGGTGTCTCCTGATTTCCACGCAATCTCTAATCCAGCAGACACAAGGCTAGAAAGAAATTCCAGCATTATTGTAACTCAACTCCCCTAAAAAAAATTTAGTTTTTGCTTTTTAAGCCGATCTGATTCCCTGAGTCCTAACCCTTACACTCTTTCACTTCTGACCTAAAACGGTTCCGCAGCAGCAAGCTCACGAGTTCTGCAACTTCATCTATAATGCTATCCATCAGTGTACGGCATCTCAACGAGAAAAACAAATTTTGGTTTTACTTCTGCTCTTGGCTATCAAAAGACTTAGTTTAGGTGGCTCTTGAGGACTTAAAAATTCATTCAACATTTGTCAAATATCCATGGTGTGCCAGATTTTCGGGCGGGGGTATTGTGAAGAACTGAACACAGTGAAAAATCTGTGTCTCAGGGACTTTAAGTTTGATAAAGTGAAACATGTCCAAGTACCAGGTGAGCTCCGTACTGTGGTAGTTTGAATGTAACTGGCCCCATAATCTCAGAGGGAGCAGCATTATTAGGAGGTATTGTTGTGGGATTTCAATCCAATCCATTTAGCCAATGACTTTTGGGGCAAGTCCTAGGGCTTGGTCTTGTCTGTGACCACTTAAGAGCCAGAGAGGTGTGACCCCTCTCCCTCAGCACTCTTTCTCTCTCTCTTTCTCTCTTCCTCGGGTGCTCAGAGTCAGAGCAAGGAGCGGCTGGTCCCTGGGCAGAATGGCAGGACATGGGCATCTGATCTGTATCCGAGAGTATTTATCCCTATCTTACACCTAAATATATTCTCGAGCCCCTTTAACACCACCATGCTCCTGCTGTGATAACAATGGACTGAACCTCTGAAACTCTAAGCGAGTCCCCTCAATTAAATGATTTCCTTCTAAGAGTTGCTGTGTTCATGGTGTCTCTTCACAGCAATAGGAACCTTAAGATAATGGCAGAGCAGACGTACAGTTCTAGGCAGGGCCAGTGGACCAAACTTAGCTGGAAGAGTCTGTGGAGTAGTGAGAATGTATGGGACAATAGGTATAAAAAGGTAAGGTCGAGGCAATATAATAAACCACCACAGTAACATTTAGCAGCCCCATGATGTTAGGCCATTCTTAGAGTACTGTACACACTTTATGTGTATGTACTATTTATCCAGTCCTTCAGCAATCCCATGCGGGATACTCCCACGAGGGACTGCTGTCTATCTCATTTGCCAGAGGAAGCGGTAAAGGAAATCTCCAGAGACACCACTGGCAAGTGGCAGAGTGGTGTGACCCCAGAACCAATTCTGGGCCCTCAAGCGTCTGAGGTGGAGTTCTCGCTGTTCTGATTCTCTACTTATTCCCTGTGTTGGGAACATTTACTTGTTACACAAGCTTACTCTTTTAGCTTCTGTCGTTTTGCTTTGAAATAGGGTCTTACTATGTAAACCTGCCTACCCGTGCTTTCCGAGTGCTCGGATTAAAGGCATGCACCTCCATGCCCTATATTTTCAAGACATCACTACTAAGAATTACTTAGTTAGGCATTTTTCAACTTAAAAGATTATGAATGGATAGAAGTTTGTAATGTAACTTTAAGGACTAACCATTACCAATGTTCAAAGAACATTATCTAACAAACAATTAGGTTTGATTTATGGGTTTACTTTCCGAATGGAAAATTGGCAATAGCTTGTGTAGCCTTATCTGCTCAAATTCAGCATACGTGTAACTGACAGCAGCTCCGATCCCAGAGAGACATGTATAGCCCTACTGTAACCACCCTAAACAACAGGCCTGGTAAACACAACATTATCCTCCACAACAGAAGAATAATAGCAAAAATGACTTACAACAACACAGATGAACCCTATAATTAGAATGCTAAAGAAAAGGCAGACACACAACATATGAGAATGAGAGAAATGAATCTATGTACAAATAAGGCAGAAGAATGATTTGTTATGAGGTGACTGATGACGGGAATATTCTGGTCCCTGAAGTTGCTGGGATAATGGCTAACATATGTACTCAGTTTCTGGGAAGTAATGTTTGTTTGTTTCTGAGGCAGTCTCTTTACTAAGTAGCTCAGGCTGTCCTGGAATCTGCTGTGTAGACTAGGCTGGCTTCAAACTCAGAGATCTGCCTCTGCCTCCCAGAGCTGGGATTAAAGAGTAGCCAGACGTACTAACTAGTTTTATGCCAACTTGACACAAGCTAGAGTTATCTGAAAGCAGGGAAACTCAAGAAAATGTCTCCTTAAGATCTGGCTGCAGGGGATTTTCTTAAGCAGTGAGGGAAGGCCAGGGCCGAGCCACTGTGGGTGGGGCTATCCCCAGGGTGGCCGTCCTGGGTTAAGAAAGTCACACAGAGCAATCCAGTAAGCGCACCCCTCCATGATTTCTGCTTCTGCCTCCAAGTTCCCGCCCTGTGTGAGTTCCTTCCTGACTGCCTTCTATGAACACTGATGTGGAAGCGTCAGCCAAATCAACCCTTTCCTCCCGAACTTGCTTTGGTCATGGTGTTTCACCACAGCAAGAGTAACCCTGACTAAGACACCTGGCCTACTTTGTGTGACATCTTACCAAGGGTACACCTGGGACTTTATTTTCTGTATACAGACTGTCTACAGAATATTAAATGGAAGTTGGTATTTTAAATTAAATGGTCTACAATTTTTAACAAATTCTGAAAAGTTAACATGAAGGAAAACAATTATATTACTTCTATCATCCAATATTTGAATATTCATCCTGAAAACAGGAATATCTTAAAAATTGGAAAATGTCAGTCCTCACATGCATCCCACAGAGACAGACACAATTTTCTGAGAAGAAAACCGGAGCTCTGAAATTAATGTGTAGAAAAACAAAAACAAAAACCTCAAGCAGTCTTAACTCTGTGCATATGCAGTGTGTGTGTGTGTATGCGCGCGCATGTGCAGGGTGTGTGTGCGTGTACATGTTATTTGCTTGTTTGGAGGACAGGGTCTCACAGTGTCCAAGGCTGGCTTTGGATTTGCCATCTTCCCGCTGAAAGCTACATTAACAGGAGTGAACCACCACCACGCCCAGCCTAGAGAGGCAGCTTCATCACCATGCTACATTACATTTCAGCAAGGAAGAACTCATCTGTGTCAAGGTAAGAAAGACTCCAGTCGCAAAACCTTCTGCACTTAAATGTTTAAAATATTTTCCAATTGCATCCTCCAAGCAGAGAAATGCAGTCACAGCAAGACGAACCCTGAATAACTGTTTTCCACAGTGACAGGTGATTTAGATACAGCACAACTGTTCATGCCTGAGAAAATATGACGGAGGAGTTTCTAAAACCCAGCCCCGCTGACCAAACTCAATTCTGACCCTGAACTTCTTTACTCAGTGTTAAGAAAATTCAGCATGCCAGTAAAGTGTTAGGACAGCTAAACATTTACTGTGCTGTCAGTAAACTGTGCTGAGAACAAGTCAGTGACTCACACTACCCAGGGATTTTACAAACGGAAACAGACAAATGTATCATGCACGGTTTGAACACAGGTAACACAGGGAATATCATTCCATCATCAGTTAAAGCATTTGACAAGCATTTGACAATTTACCAACATAAAATTTACCTCTTTGGAGGGGCTAGCAGGAGATGTGAATATTGTCATCCAATAGGACCATACAAACATAACAAAGAACAGATGGAAAGCCACAAGGTAAACAACGGTCTTTCCTGGTAAATAAAAACAAATAATATTTTATTGAGTCTGGGTGAAAAGAAAAAAATACATTAGAACAGTATGGTCACAAGACCTGATTTAATAAAAACTTTCATTTAAATATCAAATATATAAACTCCTTTATCTTTATGCTACAACAGTAAGAGATATAAAGAAATATGCTACCCTTGTTATTTCAAGGTGTAAAGTTATAAAACAAGCTTATAAACCTAACTTTATGAATAAAGGCTACATTTGGTGAGAATTAATTACATTCAGTTGCTGAGGCTCTAAGTTAAAAAAACACCTTTGAAAATTTTTGCTCACTGAGTTTGGTTTCCTTCCTTCCTTTCTTTTTTGAGACAGTGCCTCCCTACATATTCCTGGCACTCACCATGTAGACCAGGCTGGTCTCAAAATCAAACTCAGAGATCCACCTGCCTCTACCTTCTGAGTGCTTGGGTTAAAAATGTGTGCCACCACTCCCAACTGGGTTTGAATCTTTTGTTTTGAGGGTGTCTCTGTGTAATAGCCCTGAATGTCCTGGAATTTGCTTTGGATATCAGGGTGGCCTTGAGCTCACCTATTTCCTTATGCCTTTGCCTCCAGTGCTAGGATTAAAGGCTAGAACTTTGGAAAAGAGAGTTTTTGACAGGCTGGCCTTGAACTTACTTTCCAGTCCAAGATGGCCTGGATTTACTCCTGCCTCTGCTTCTCCTGCCACGCTGGCCGGAGAGAACTGGTGCGAACAATGTGCACACAGCTGCTGCTCGCTGTAATTGAGTTTTCCTTAAATGTTAATTCTCACTGACTTAAAAATTATTTAAAAGGATCCATCACTATAAACATCACACCAAGGGGAACTGGAAACAGAAAGACAAAAAGTTTTACTAAACAATAATGAAAAAATTTGAAAAACAATTCCTGTCTGGGTTAGAGTATTCTAAAATTTATTCTCTTGTTCAACATAGGGTAACAAAAAAAAGTCAGGCACTGTGAACTTGTGCCATGATCTTTTCCAAGTACACTAGTGTCCCAGCTGACATCTGGGACCCCAACTATCACTCACTGGTGTAATATTAAGCCCTTTGTTGTGCTCTGCAGTTTCTCTATCTGAAATGAACAAGGTTAGTTTTTATAAGAGGCAAGAATCAATGGCCAGAGCTGAGCCCTGTACGTGTTTTGGTGTGAAATTTTACACAAACACACTCTGAAGACAAGTTTGAATTCAACTCATCTTTAAAGTCAGACTATAAAGTTCTCTCCACTCTCAGAACTTACTTTTCCTCACAACTGCGCAGACTTCGATAAAACACTTGTTTCTATAGTCATCAGACGCTTAAGAATGATAAATTAATAAATGCAAAACACCATGTGTCTTAACCAAACCAGGGGACTTTCTAGTCACAGTTGACTTTCGCTTCTTAATTCTTCATTTCTTCCTACTGAAAGCCTCTTAGCATATGACACCGGCTTTCTTTCTAACCTTAGGCATGTAAACACGAGGATCAGAGAATTTTAATGTCACTTGTAAGAAGCCTTAATGCCAGAACTGAAATTCATAACTGCTTGATAAAAATCTAAAGTTCTGGGGGCTGGAGAGATGGCTCAGAGGTTAAGAGCATTGCCTACTCTTCCAAAGGTCCTGAGTTCAATTCCCAGCAACCACATGGTGGCTCACAACCATCTGTAATGGGGTCTGGTGCCCTCTTCTGGCCTGCAGGCATACACACAGAATATTGTATACATAATAAATAAATAAATATTTAAAAAAAAAATCTAAAGTTCTTCACCTCTGTCACCGAAAATTGTTTTCCTCCACTTTTTTAGTCAGCATTTAACTAGTCAGTTTACTTCTGTGCCAGTACCTCATGACTTCCTCCTGTAGCTAAAGTACTCTTTCTTTTCATTTCCACTAATGCTGTCCACTGTAAACATTCCGGCTCCTCAGCAAGCTGCATTTCTCTACGTTGTCTGTTCCCTTCAGGTCAAATCTTGTAGTCTATTGAGTGGACTCAAAAAATATTGAGTTGCCGGGCAGTGGCAGCGCACAACTTTAACCCCAGCACTTGGGAGGTGGAGGCAGGTGGATCTCTTTGAGTTCAAGGCCAGCCTGGTCTACAGAGCTAGTTCTAGGACAGGATCCAGAGCTAGAGTAACTCTGTCTCAAAAGAAGAAACACTCCTCCCCCCCAAAAAAAAACAAACAAACCAACACTGAGTGATTGATTTTTCCTTTGGGAACCCATTTGGGGGCTCACTCCCTTCTCTGACCCAGCTCCAAGGCCACTCACTGACTCTGAAGTGCTAGTTCACCAGTACGTCCTGTATTCATTTCCTGTCCGTCAATCAAGCTAGCAGTCTTCACTTACACCATTGGTTCTCAACTTGTGGACCAGGATCCCTTTGACAAACCTCTACGTCCAAAACTATTTACATTAGTATTTGTAACAGTAGCAAAATAACTATAATTTTATAGTTTTGGGGAGGTCACCAATACATGAGGAGCAATATTAAAGGGTCACAGCATTTAAGACGGATGTCAGCACACAAGTACTTTAAACTTGATTACTTACAACCAAGATTAGCATAAACAGATGCTTCAACTTTTAACATTTACTATTCCTTTAGGAAATTTCTACTCTCCATACACACAAAATGGTTTGCTTTAAAACACATTTCAGTTAAATATAATTAACTTCTTAGCACAATACTTGGGATATAATTAACAGACAAAAACAAATAATAATAAAAGAAAATACTGCTCTTAACTAAATTCAAATTCATGTGATGTGCTATTTTTTTCTTGAGGGGCTGGAGGGCTGAGGACCACTTAGAGTCGTGTGTGTGTGTGTGTGTGTGTGTGTGTGTGAGTGTGTGTTAGTAGCCTACTACTGAGCTGCCCTTCAATTCTCTCTCCTTTTTCCCCCTCAAGGTTTCTCTTGAAACCCCCCAAGACAGGGTTTCTCTGTGCAGCCCTAGCTGTCCTGGAACTTGCTCTGTAGACCAGGCTGGCCTCAAACTCAGAGATCACCTGCTTCTGCCTCCCAAGTGCTGGGATTAAAGGCACATGCTATCGCTGCCCAGCAACAGGGTCTTGATATATAACCAGGGTTGATCCTAAACTTATAGACCAGGCTGGCCTGTGCTGTGGGATGATCTTCCAATCTCTGTAAAAATCTGTTGCTCTCATTGCTTGATAATAAAAGCTAAATTAACCTATAAGCCAGGCAGAATAAAGTTAGGTGGGAAAGTCACACATATATACAGGGAGAAAGAAGGGTGGAGTCAAGAGAAACTTAGATGCCCAAGAAGCAAGATGCACGGTCACACGGCAACATACAGATTAACAGAAAAGGGTTAATTTAAATAGAGGAGCTAGTCAGTAATAAGCCTGAACTACAGGCCAAACATTTTATAATTAATACTAAGCATCTGAGTGATTATTTAAAAGCAACTACATGACAGGGCAGGGCAAAGACGGCTCCGCTTACAGGTCGGGAACTCATAATGCTCTTGGTCTTAGCCTCCCAAGTGCTGGATTATGTTCCAACATACCCAGCTTCCATGACTATTAAGAGGAAAACTTTGAGTCACATTTATGAAAGTGGGCTGGCAAGACGGCTCAGCAGGTAAAGGCACTCGCCAAACTGAGAGTGTGGCCCACACAGTGGAAGGAGAGAACCAACTCCCCAAAGTTGTCCTCCTCTGAGTGTGTGTACATGTGCGCACATACCCAATGTGAAAAAGTAAATGTATAAAAGTAAAAATATTTGTAAAAAAATTAAAGCTCTAAGAAAAATCTAAATCTATAAATCAAAATCTATGTTCAAAAATCACCTGTAACTCAATGTATCATAAAACTTCAAGACAGCTTTTAACAAGTGGGAAAAAGAGGAAAATATTCTTTTAAGATGTGGCTAAAAAAAACTGCAATACATACTAGTACAAATGAGAACTTTGAAAAAATAAAGTCGCCGGGTGGTGGTGGCGCACGCCTTTAATCCCAGCACTCGGGAGGCAGAGGCAGGCGGATCTCTGTGAATTCGAGACCAGCCTGGTCTACAAGAGCTAGTTCCAGGACAGGCTCCAAAGCCACAGAGAAACCCTGTCTCAAAAAAAAAAAAAGAAGAAAGAAAGAAAAAATAAAGTCAAGGCTGAACAGATGGGATACGCCTATGACATCAATATTTGGAGGCTGAACACGATATATATCTGTAACGTCATCATTTGAAGGTGGAGGCAGGTGAATCTGAAGTTAAAGATACAAAGTCAGTCCTGGAAAGCCTGAACTACATCAAAGACCCTGCCCTCAAAATACACAAAACAAAATCTTCAGATAATCCCTTCATTTGTGTCTATACTATCAACACACATAAAATAATTCTGCATTGAAAAAATGCAAAGAAAGACAGGACTTCCAAGATTGAATCTGTCTCTTCTGTTACTGAAAAGCATCCTTAAGGGCAACTTTAATCAGGCATGATCATCTCCGGTAATAAGAAAAAATATCAAGCAAGGAGTGGTAGCACACACCTTCAATCCCAGCACCTGGGAGGCAAAGGCAGGCGGTTCTCTTTGAGTCTATGGCCAGCCTGGACTATAAAGTAAGTTACAGCACAGAAAGGGCTACATAGAAAAAACTAGTCTTGAAAAACCAAAAATATAATAAAACAAATATTAATACTGTTAATTATTTAATTGTTTCAGAATCTTCTTGGTTTTTGTCTGTTAAAATCTAATTTTATTTTTGAAATTTTACTTCAGTGGTACTACTAAAGCTTTCTTCAATTCTAGTGAAATTCGTAGAAAAAATCTTTTCCCCTAGGCATTATTTGTTTGATCATTATAAACTCATTTATTCCCTTGACCTAATAATACAAATTTAAAATGTGATTTGATTAAATATCTATGAGTAATAATGTACTATTCTAAACAAATACACGAACAATGGAACCATTCTTAAGATTTAGGCATTGTAAAAGCAGACCTACCCCAGCCCAGTGAAGACTACTACCAGAACTGGAACAGACAGAGCTCCAGGGAAACACCAAGCAGAAATGCATGAATTTATACAAAATAGTGCTAGGAGCCTGCTAAAACATAGCCACGTTAGTCATTTAAGATACTGCGTGCCTAGGAAGAAACCCAGCAGAAGTACTCTCTCCTTCTAATTAAAAAGTTAAAGACACATTCTTTCTTTAAGGAAAACAAAATCCCATGAATTCACACCACTAGGTAAAAAGTACACGGTCACACAGGACTTAAAGCGAGACTGTGAGAGTCTTACCGTTTTCTCCTTTTCCAGAAACAGTAACTAGAAGAAAAAAAATAGGAGTAAATATACTTATACACCAAGTTTGTTTCATTTTCATAAAACCTGAAAAACATTCTATCATTAACAATGCAACTACTTAACATTTTTAGACCTCTTTTAAACTTCAGTGTGTTGAGAGAGCCCTTTACAGCTCTCCTCAATCCCACAGCGAGAAAAGGGCTGTTCTTTAGAATACAGTACACGCTCAGCTGGCAAAGCACTGGCTGAGGAAACACAAGGGTGTGTGCTGATTCCCCACCTATGTGCGGGAGGCAAGCATTTGGAATCCTAGTTGTGTGACCCCTGGGTGGCCAGCCAACCTCACCTGGGCACCCATTGGGGCGGGTGTAAGGGAACAGCACAGCTGGGCAAGGCCGGACGAAAGGAAACATAATACAAATCAAGGTGCCTAGTTCCCGAGAGACGATGTCAGATGGACTTCTGACCTACGCACACACTTCATATTTCCTTTTAAATGAAGCACGGTAACCATCATATTTAGGGAAAGACTGTAATAATTCATGTATACATGTAAAGTTCTCAAGTTAGGGTAGCTGACAGAGAAAAGGTACTCCATCTTTTTCCATTTTGTACTATTTTTTTTAAAAGCTTTTATTAGCTGGGCATAGTGGTGCACACCTTTAATCCCAGAACTCAGGAGGCAAAGCCAGGCAGATCTCTGTGAGTTTGAGGCCCGCCTGGTCTATAAACTAAGTTACAGGACAGTCAGAGCTATACAAAAAAACTGTCTGGAAAAAAGAAAAATAAAATAAATTTTAATAGCTGTATACTGTTTAACTGTAAATTATTTTAGAAGCCTCTGCGTTTTATGTTAAAAATCTAATTTTATTTTTGAAATTTTACTTCAATGATACTACTAAAGTTTTTTTTTAATTCCAGTGAAATTCTTTTTTTTGTTTGTTTGTTTTTTTGTTTTTCGAGGCAGGGTTTCTCTGTGGCTTGGGAGCCTGTCCTGGAAGCTCTTGTAGACCAGGCTGGTCTCGAACTCACAGAGATTCGCCTGCCTCTGCCTCCTGAGTGCTGGGATTAAAGGCGTGCGCCACCACCACCTGGCTCCAGTGAAATTCTTAGATCTTTTCCCCTAGGCATTGTTTGTTGATCATTATTAACTCATTTATTCCCTTTACCTAATAATACAAATTTAAAGTCTGGTGGTTTGATTAAGTATCTGTGTAATAACATACTATTCTAAACAAATATATGAACAATGGAACCATCCCTAGGATTAGATGATGTGGGATGTCCTTCCCTATATGTGTTGCTTTTATTAGTTGTACAATGAAGCTGTTTCGGCCAATGGCTTAGCAGAGTTAAGTGAGGCGGGAAATCCAAACACACAGATAGCACACAAGAGTGCATGAGCAGAGTGGAAGGAGACACCATGCAGCCTCTGAAGAAATAAATGTGGCACTGGTAAGCCAGTCTTGTAGCGATAACAGATAAATAGAAATGGGTTAACCTAAGAGCTAGCTAGGAATATGCCTGAGCCATGGGTCAAACATAAATGCAATTAACATAGTTTCTGTTATTAATATAATTAACAGAGTTTCAGTATGGGTGGCCGGGAAACATCTCCGCTTATTATTAGATACTATGAAGCAGACTTCCTCCCTAGCCCAGTGAAGGCTGCTACCAGAACTGTAACAGACAGAGCTCCAGGGAAACACCAAGCAGAAATCCATGAATTTATATAAAGTAGTGCTAGGAGTCTGCTAAAACATAGCCACGTTAGTCATTTAAGATACTGCGTGCCTAGGAAGAAACCCAGCAGCAGTACTCTCTCCTTCTAACTAAAAAGTTCAAGACACATTCTTTCTTTAAGGAGAACAAACCCCATGAATTCACAGCACTAGGTAACAGTACATGGTCACACAGGACTCTACTCAGAGTGAGACTGTGAGAGTCTTACCGTTTTCTCCTTTGCCAGAGACAGTGACTGGAAGAAAAAAATAGGAGTAAATATACTTATACACGAAGTTTGTTTCATTTTCATAAAACCTGAAAAACATTCTGATGTGGGAGTGTCATATATCAATCTGTTGATTTCATTGGTTAAGCAACAAAGAAACTGCTTGGCCCTCATAGGTTAAAACACAGGTGGGAGGAGTAAACAGAACAGAATGCTGGGAGGAAGAGGAAGTGAGCTCAGACTCGACAGCTCTGCTCTCTGGAGCAGAGACGCCATGCTCCCCTCTCCCGGGCGGATGTGAGAGCTCTGCTCTCTGAGACACATGCGATGAAGCTCCAACGCAGGATGGATGTAGGCTAGAATCTTCCCGGTAAGCACACCTAGCGGAGCTACCCAGATGATTAGAAATGGGCTAGTTCAGGTGCAAGAGTTAGCCAAGAAGAGGCTAGACAGAAATGGGCCAAGCAGTGTTTAAATGAATACAGTTTGTGTGTTGTTATTTCGGGCATAAGCTAGCCAGGCAGCCGGGGTGCTGGGGACGCAGCCCCGCCGCTCTTATTACAACAACATTCTATCATTAACAATGCATTAATACTTTTAGACCTCTTTAAACTTCAGTGTGTTGAGAGAGCCCTTTACAGCTCTCCTCAATCCCACAGCGAGAAAAGGGCTGTTCTTTAGAATACAGTACACGCTCAGCTGGCAAAGCACTGGCTGAGGAAACACAAGGGTGTGTGCTGATCCCCCACCCATGTGCGGGAGGCAAGCATTTGGAATCCTAGTTGTGTGACCCCTGGGTGGCCAGCCAACCTCACCTGGGCACCCATTGGGGTGGGTGTAAGGGAACAGCACAGCTGGGCAAGGCCGGACGAAAGGAAACATAATACAAATCAAGGTGCCTAGTTCCCGAGAGACGATGTCAGATGGACTTCTGACGCACACACTTCATATTTCCTTTTAACTGAAGCACGGTAACCATCATATTTAGGGAAAGACTGTAATAATTTATGTATACATGTAAAGTTTTCAAGTTAGGGTAGCTGACAGAGAAAAGGTACTCCATCTTTTTCCATTTTGTACTATTTTTAAAAGAGTTTTTATTAGCTGGGCATAGTGGTGCATATCTTTAATCCCAGAACTCAGGAAGCAGAGACAGGCAGATCTCTGAGTTTGAGGCCAGCCTGGTCTACAAAGTGAGTCCCAGAACAACCAAAGCTACACAAAGAAATACTGTCTCAGGGGAGAAAAAAAATAAGTTTTTATTTTTATTTTATGTATATGGGGGTTTGGCCTGAATATTGGTGTACTGCTTTTGTTCCTGGTTCCAGATGTAAGCTGCTGTATGGGTCCTGGGAAATGAACCCAGGTCCTCTGCAAGAGCAAGGCAGCAGAGTCACGGCTTCAGGCCCCATCTTCTCTTACCCTTCGAGTAACCTAAAAGCAGTCCCTCTACAGTGCCTGAAATGGTGGGAATTACTGTTCATTCTTTCTGGACGATCCAAAACCATGTTGGACAAGACTATTTCCAATATGTCACCGCTCCAGGCCCGCCCATCTCTTTCCTTAAATCCGACACTAAGGCATCTGCCCTATCAGTTTTACACTCACCACCAGCAAAGACATGGCTGACTACTCTTCAGCACCGTGCCTTCTGGGCAGCCAGCACTACAGACCTGCCGTAATGTAGTCGTCTGGCTGGCTCATGCTTTTGGTCTGTTACAGAACACAATGTCACAAATACTATGTTCCTTCTGATCCACCTTTCAGAGCTATATGAACACTCCCGCCTCTCAAAGCTTCCTGAGCCCCCACTTCCAGCATAAACACCACACTCTTCTGTTACTACTGCTCACTCCCACATCCGTTCTCACTCTCTCGCGCTTCCTCATAGCCGACAGCATCACACATTATTCCATATTTTAAGACTCAAAGGATTATATATGTATGTATGTGTGTGTATGTTATGTATCAGCAGGACAAGCAAAATCAAATCTGAACTAAAATCTCTAGATAAGCTGAAACTACATGGACACTTTCTTAACAAACCAAAAATAAATTTATTTATTCATCCACCAGCATCATAACACTAAAGAAATTGTGTAATTGCTTTGGAGCCTGTCCTGGAACTAGCTCTTGTAGACCAGGCTCGTCTCAAACTCACAGAGATCTGCCTGCCTCTGCCTCCTGAGTGCTGGGATTAAAGGTGTGTGCCACCACTGCCTGGCCTAAGAAAAGTTTTTGATCATTTCTTTTTTAAATACACTTTACAGAAGCATAAGGTTTCTCAACCCATCTTAGATGTTAGGTAAGGCCTGAATATCTCAGCCCCCTGAGCACACATTAAAAATATGTTCTGTGTAAAAAAAAATAAAAGAAAAAAAAATATGTTCTGTACAATAAAAATTATAATTGTAAAATTTAAAATTTTTTTAAGATAATGTCATGACTTTAATGAAAATTGCTGAGAAGTATGATACCGGCCACACTAATTAAAGAATAAACATAAAAATAAAACTGAGGCTGGGCGGTGGTGGCGCACGCCTTTAATCCCAGCACTCGGGAGGCAGAGGCAGGCGGATCTCTGTGAGTTCGAGACCAACCTGGTCTATAAGAGCTAGTTCCAGGACAGGCTCCAAAACCACAGAGAAACCCTGTCTCAAAAAAGCAAAATAATAATAATAATAATAAAAATTAAACTGAGGGCTGGTGGAGACTCCAAGGTGATAGGGCTGCCAAGCCTGACTACCTGAGTTCAAGCACTCACTGCGGCCACATGGCGGAAGGAGACAACCTACTCTACCATATTGTCCTCTGACCCTGTACATTTGCCATGGCGCCACACACAATAAGCAAATGTGGAAAAGAAATTGATTTTGTTGTTTCAAGACAGGGTTTCTCTGCATAGCCCTGGAGTCCTGGAACTCACTCAGTAGACCAGGCTGGCCTCGAATTCACTCTTTGCCTCTGCCTCTAGAGTACAGGGATTAAAGGTATATGCCACCACTGCCCAGAAAAAAAAAAAGAACTTTTTTATAGATAAAAAGGTTGGAGATTCTCTTTATGATGGTGCAGCAGAGCCTGAGCCAAGCCAATGCTGCGCTCTTGTCATGTGGACTGTGGTAGCTGGAAAACAGCAAACACGGGAGGAGAGCTCGGCATTCACAGCAGCAGCACAAAAACTCTAAACCGCATCCTTACAACGAGCTTGTCTTCATGGTGTGCATGCAAATGTGACACACTGGTCAAGACCCATGACATACCAATCTTGACATGAAGAAACTAGGGAATGAAATGTTGACTGCACAGTTAGCTGCAGCTGTGTGTCACAGACTATGGCAAAGAATCTCAGGCCAAGGGTGTCATCATAGAGTGTGACAAATGCAAGAAACGAACAAAAATGGCCAGAGTGGCCCTAGCTTTCCTCCTCTGGTGTCGCTCAGTGTGGTTAGGAACTCACAGCTGCTCATCTTCAAAGACAGCCACAGTTCTGGCAGGCTGCATGGGCCTGACCAAGGCAAACCGGTGTCCCCCTGGAGAGGATCAGGCTCAATACTGAAACTGGGTCTTCTAGGCAATCAGCACTTTGTTGCTGGGACATCTGGCTTCATGAGAAGAGTGGTGATCACATGGTCCAAATTAATGCTATTTGGCCGTCCAACTGGCCCTGACAGTAACCAACCCTGTTGTTGTAAGGCCAAAAGATTAGAAGTCCAAGTGCCCAGGCTCACTACTGAAAACCCATCAGGAGGACCAGTGTAAACCTTTGTTACTGTTTATTAACAGCGGAATTTAAATGTTTCCAGAACTGCGGAGGCACAGAGGGGAAGGCAAAAGCAAAACCATTTGCTGAAAGAATTTTTTTTTTTTTTGGTTTTTTTCAAGACAGGGTTTCTCTGTAGCTTTGGAGCCTGTCCTGGAGCTAGCTCTTGTAGACCAGGTTGATCTCGAACTCAGAGAGATCCGCCTGCCCCTGCCTCCCAAGTGCTGGAATTAAAGGTGTGTGCCACCACCGCCCAGCCTTGCTGAAAGAATTTTAAGAAAGAATTCAAGCCAGGTGTGGCGGCACATGCCACCTGTCACTCAGGAGCAGAGGCATGCCAGCCAAGACTACAGAGAAACGCATCTCAAAGACATCATAAAGGAAAACGGAAGGGAGTTCAGGTGTTTTACATACACGCTCTCTCCATTCTGCCAGCTGTGTATGTATCTGTCACCAGCGCCGGCATCTAACAACTTAGTCTCACTTCCTCACAGCCCTTACTTAGCCCTAGAGGAAAATATCTAATGTTCCTATCAGTGTAGTTGTACACCTACAGCCAGCCTGGCTACATGAAGCTCATTCGCCAGCAAACTGGCTTCACTGTAGACACCCTTTAAGGGTCTTACTCTGAAGTCACAGAGATCCACCTGCCTCTGCCTCCTGAGTGCTGGGGTTAAAAGCATGAGCCATTCCACCCAGCAGGGATGATGGTGGAGGCAGAGAAAGGTGGATCTCTGTGAGTTTGGGGGGGAAGATGGTGACTTCTCAAGGCCAGGCGACTTATGAAATGTCTTAGATACTCTAGCAATCACTACACAGTAGCACACATCTATTTTTAAAGCACTGCTGTCTCCCATCATGTGGGTGTTCTGTTTTACAATCAGACTTCTATGAGTGGACATCTGGGTTGCCTCCAATTTTGTGTTATTCAAACAATCAATAAATAACCCTGTGAATGTGCTGTTTACTTGTGGAAGCTTATGTTCAGTGCGGAATCCTCACAGCAGGATCACAGAACTAAGAGTACATTTCTGTTGTATTTTTAGCTTTTCCCAAAAACCTTTAGAAGGATTTTGTATTCCTTTAAGCAATGCATGCACACCCTGGGTCTTTCTAGTCTAAGTGTTTGCAAACTCTTGGTGCTGCAGGGTAATTTTATAGTCTGCACTTGTAGATGAGCATGAACATCTTATGTTTACAAACCACTGTCATCTTATCCTGAACTAGTTATGTCTATCCATTTCTGTTTTTGTCTACCAGAACTGGC